GTGGTATTTGTGAAGAAGATTTTCAAATGATCACATTGATTTTTCACCAATTCGTAATTATCTCTCTTCCGAAGAAGGTGTTGCCCTTCAATTGAACACATTTGAATCCCTTTACCCAAGGATACTTTGCGGCAATTTAAGTTTGATTAAAATTGGCCAAGTGGTTCTTGAGAAAAAGTTGAAAATGTGAAAAGTTTACAGACAGACAGACGGACGCCGGAGAAAATGTGGTAAGAACCTTCAGCTCATGTGAGCTAAAACTGATATCAAAAAATTATGTATCTTAGTGTTTTCTAATTGTGATCAAAAATACATTTAAGTCAGACAAAATATGTATTATATATCGTTTTGAAAGTATTTCACATTAATTTCTATTTTTAGTAACTATGGCAACACTGTTCAATATATTAAATATTAATATTAAAAAAAAAGAAAGATAAACATGATTATAAAAGGTAATGTATTCAACTTGTGTACCAAGTTATATTGAGATCGGAGCAAAACTGTAGGAGTAGCATTTTGAAAAAATGTTTACAGACAAACAGACGAACAGCTAAACAAACGGATGACGGACACCTTACTATCACAAAAGCGCTTCTGGTTTCTGACCAGTAGAGCTAAATATCACAAGAAGATACGGGGTAGAATACCATATATGCCACATGCATAAAAGTTATGTTTTTATTGTTATCACTCATATAGATATCATAATGATATCACTATATGTAAGGAGAATTCGCAGAAAGGATGAATCTCACATTCGAAAACATTAACTCAACCATAATGATGTAAATTCGAGTTTGGATTCATTATAATTCTTAAGTGCTGTCTTCAAACAACAAGTTCTTAAATCTTATCAAAGAAAAAACAGCTATTCAGAGTTATCTACATATTTTGAAACTATTTGTTTCCGATTTTGTACTTACATATATGAAAAAAGGTCTACATTGTAGATTGCATTTTGTGCAGATTCGATTCTTAGATATTCTTCAAAATAAATTGCATTTTGCTGATTGTGGTGTACTGTGTGGAATAGTAGTAAAAAAATCCTACAGAATTTGAAACAAAATGTTTCTAACAGCAAAATCATCGTAATAATTGAAATTAAAAAAAAATAAGCGGGCAATGAGTTCCAGGATCGTATATACTTATCTAGAAATGGGAAAAACAAGCTCAAAAAGTATTCAAAGATTTTAATTACATAGCATAAATTTATATACACATTACAAATATTAGTAACACCAAACCTTACACAAAAAAATCAAACATAAATACTCATTTTATTTATAACTTAATTTTCACTTGTGCAAAGAAGCGCATAAGGGAATGCAACAGTTATATGTACCATCTTTCCATTTGCAGTCACATCATTACATACTAAATTATTTGTTGACTTTCGTTGTTCTTTTTTGTTAATTAGGTGTTGACAACGGAACAATATGCTTTCATTCTTCTATAAAAAAAAACATTACCAGCTTCACTTCACTAGACTGTCAGGACAACGTCCAACGTAAGAGGATGATTTGAATCAATATCATTAAACACATATTGATTGTGAATTGTTATCCAATTCCAAACCAGGATTCCAGTATTATCACAAGAGAACAGTTTCACATCCTCTTCCCAGTGACCTTAAACTTATGGATATGACCTCAAGAAGTCAAGATAAAAAAAAATGTACACCCTTGGGCTATTACTAATAGCATGCTTGCTTAAGTTTAAACCCATTCTGAAAGATGGTCCAAGAGGTATGTCTGGGTACAAAAAAAAAAAAAAAAAAAAAAAAAAAAAAAAAAAAAAAAAAACCTAATTTGAGAAAAAACCCTAGACTTTAGTACACGTAAAAAGTATTAAGTAAAATTAAGTATATATGCAAACATGTTTGTTGAAAAAGGAGAGAAAGTAACAACAATATGTGCATTTATATACAAATATTACCAGAATATTAAACTTTAAATAGACATAACATAGATGTTTAAACTGAAAATAGCTTTGTTGTGGTTTTAAAAAAGTCAAGTTTTTAACTCTCAAAAACTAGTACTTTAGACAACATTTTCTTAACAAGTTTTGTTTTGTGCATTTTTTAAATTGCGTTCAATCTTATGAAAAATCATTATTTTGTTCAGTAACATCTACTCAGACAGTCACATTCTTGTTGGTGCAACAGCTAAAAGAGAATCTACCAAAACAATGTCATAAAGCAGTTTACAACACGAAACAAAACCATTTGATTTGAATCAATACCCAAAATATTTGGTCTTTTCTTCTTTTCATTGAAATTATGTTTCACGTTATCTAATCTCTCCACTTAAAGTCATGTATTTTGTTTTTATTCTACTATGCCATTTAGCTCTGTACATTTTCACAACCTTGCTGGCATTGCTCTTGAAAAATAAGATCTAAAAAACTCCAGGATTTAGATGAAGCATACGTAAGAATTAAATTGAAATCACTCAATGCTTACAATGAAGAAAATAAACAACAATACAGATAAGGGATGAATATCAGAAACTAGTAAAAATGCAAGTAAAAAATACCTTTTCAAAGAGAAATATAGTTTAATAATGAATTGACAAATGGGGTTTTCACCATCTGCAATGCTGGAGTATTTTGTCTACATTTTGTCACAAGACAGCACTTAATACCTCACAGTAACTTTAAATACCTGTTTAAGAATCTGTGTATCTTATAATTGTATGATTTTACAGCAATTATCAATTTTTTTTTAATAAAAAAAAAGTACTGTATAACAGGATATTTTCGCGATGTTCCAATATTCGCTTTCTTTGCGAGCATATTTAGATCGCAAAAAAATTAAACTTGCATTAATTTGTCACTGTGTTCTGTATAGACTACTTAGATAACCATTAAACCACTGGAACGAACTAATTGTAGAAGTATGCAAATGGCAGATACACACACTGAAAAATCCAGTCATACAGCAGTTGATGGATGGTATGGATTGTCAGCTTTGGTGAAGTGTATGGATAGTTGGCTTTGTTAGCATATGGATTGTTGGCTTTACTGCAGTGTTGGCTTTTGTGAAGTGTATTGATTGTTGGCATTTATGAAGTGTATGGATTGTCGGTATTTGTGAAGTGTATGGATTGTTGGCGTTGCTGTATTGTATATATTGTCAGATTTGGAGAATGTATTTAACTATTTATTGTCAATTTTGGTGATGTGTATGGATTATCGGCATAAGTAAGGTGTATGGATTGTCAGCTAAAGTGTATTCAATTGCTCTCTCCTCACATTTCTCTAGTGCATGGATTATATCAAATGAAAATAACCCAAAAAATGTTTGCGATCAATATAAATGGCAAATATACCTATCTGATATGTTATGGAACTTATACAGGTATTTGTAAATTTTTAACGAAAGATATTCAATAATGGAATAATACAAACGATTCTCTGTATTGTCAATAAACATTAAAGGACAGGTCTAATTAAGACACATTCAAAAATATAAGCTTATTTTGCAGTTTCTTTATACACTTTAAAAGTATTTACCATATACACATTCTGATAAGCAGTTGCACGAAAATTTAGGAAAAAAATGTATATGTATATATACAATTGTGTTATTACATTATAATATATTTATGAAATAATTTTCAACTAAAGAAATTACACACTAGCTTTTTTTAATTTAGATATTAGTTTGGCGTAATTAAAAACCTAAAACCTTTATAATAACATCTTAAACATGTAATACTCGGTAGTATTTCACATCCGTGCACTTTGACTAAACAACATCAGATAAAAATTCTTGTACGACTACGAAATTCCCAAACAGGGAGTTTTAGGTATCAATTCATTCTGTACCTTTATATACGTTTAAATAATTTGATTGTTTTAGTAGACTTGTTTTTGTCTTTTTTATAATTTGATCAAAATATTATTTGAAGATTTTATAATAATCAAATAATCCTAAAGAATTTCATTATAATAACAGTTAACATTATTTTTACCACTGAATATTCGACTTGTAGAAGGTTGTCGTATAATATGAAATATTATACCTCTGCTGTTATTACTCTATATAAAATTAATACCATAAAACTGTCTATTTCCCTAAGAAGATACTATTTCCCTAATATGAGGACTACTCCCTGAAAAATAGGAGCTACTCCCTATGACTACTCCCTCATGAATATTTATTAATAATTTTAACCAATTAAAATGAACAGTGGGCGGAGCGTTCAAGGAATCTCGAGTCTGTGACGTTATGTTATTAGCAATGTAACTATGACGTCAAAACATTTCGACATGCAATGTCAAAATTATACTGGAATTCTAGCAAAATGACGACAATGATAATCCTTCGAAGAGTCAGTAAAATTATTTTATATTTTTTAATAATTTAATTTTCCTCGGTATTAATGCATTAGCTATCTTACAATATTTTTAATCACATGCATTTGTGATTATTTAAATGTCTCTATATTGTTTTAAAAAATGTCTGAGTCTCTAGTTTAATAAATCTCCCATGATTGTTTCGGTATAATAAAACAGTTATGGAATGGGTACTCGGGAAATAGCAAATTTATGGTTCCCCTCGGCAGGAAACTATTTCCCTCGGCGGCTTCGTCGCCTCGGGAAATAGTTTTCTCCCTTGGGAAACCATAAATTTGCTATTTCCCTCATACCCATTCCATAACTGTATACTATCAGTTAGACGTTTTTACACATCATAAAAATGAAGTAAAATATATTGAACATTTCACAGTTACTCTCTTTTCAAATACGTTATTTTCTTGTAAAACATTAATTTATCGGTATTACTTAAAAAGAATCTTTGAATATATTAAATCGCAGTAAATATTTGCAGTTGTAAATTGAGCAATTGAAAGAAAAACCATTCAGGATCAGATGGACAGTGATACAGTTGAGATCTTTGTCAGATGTATATCAGAGTTAATATAGTGCTTGATTTTGCAATTATGCATAGAAATTATTTCCTTTTTCAAGTTGGGGTCTCAGTTTCAATAGACTCAATCTGAGTTAATGAATTTCACAGATGATTCGCCTTTTTCAACATCGATGTCCTCCTTATTCCATTTAATTTGTTTATATCTTTGCTGAAAAAATATAGAATGATTATTTATCTGAAGAAAATAAGTTAATGCTACAGTTGCAAAAAAAGTGTCACTTAAATCGACTAAAAACTTGTTTATTTCATTCTTTCTTTTTATTTAAAAGGCAGACTATCAATGATAATACGTACAATCACCTGACGTGATCGCCGACAGGAAAACAAGCGTTGACAGCATGTGTCATGCAGGTCGGACCTCTGTGTGAACAGGATAGAGTTAGTCTATGTTGTTAAATGATTAAACCAGCATCTATATATGTATTTTAATAATGTACTAGATGTAGAGTTTTCTCATGCTGAACATTTTATTGGTTTAATTAGATTTTGTGTACGGATAACAAAAGGCAACTAATATTGAAACTTTTCGAATTCAGAAAGAAAGATTCCTTTGTACATGTATCTATGGCGAAGGAATAACATAATAATATAAAACTACAAGACATTATGGATCCTTTAAATCCCATGGTTTACAATTTAAATAGTTTTAAATTCATTTCCGTTACGTTTAGCTGCATAAACAACGTTACTTTCATTCCATTGCTTGTAAAATTTTATATTGAAATAAGGTCATTTTAATAATTCCTTTTTCGAAAAAGTAATAACAATTTCGTCGATTTTATAAATTACAATGTAATAAAATCTACCTCGAAAGTCCGAATTGACGTACTCAAACTTAATTATTCAACATGACAGACACTGAGGGCATTAATCTCCTTAAGAACTTTTTTAAAAATTCTTTGCGCGGGGCATATCGTATGCATACGATATCAATATGTTTTACCCTAAATGGAAGCGATTTAATTGAAAGACATGTATTTGCAAATCGTAAGAACATTGAAATAAAATGGAAAAAATAAAAGATGACTGAAGTGTAAAAAAGGAAATGTTTTTAATCAAATGTTCAATTGAAGTGAAAATAAAATAAAATTTAATTTAATTTAAAAAAAAAACAATAACATAAAAAAAGAAAGCATGTTTGTGTTAGAAATTGAAATAAGATTACTACCTTTCTCCAGTATTTGAGCATTTGTTTCCAGCATATATTATGGTTATTTCTGTTATGTTTTGGACATGATGAGAACAATTCAGAAGGATCGGCTAAGTAAATATCTACTGCCTCTGACTCACGAATGAAAACAGCATCATCGCGTTCCTCCGTTACGTTGGTTGATTTGCATGTAAATCCGGGAAAATATTCAACCGGCTTATGAAACGTTTGAGTTAGTTGTTTCAAACGTGTTTCAATCTCACAGCGAATCTTTAAAATTACATCTTCATGCAATGGTTTTGAGTTGCAAGTATATATCTGAAGGTGAATTTGTGTACTGCTTACACCCAAGACTATTCGATGGTAGTTGTCCTTGTACTTCAGGAAGGCAGCGTTTTTGAAAAGCAGTGGAAGTTTACCGTCTATCTGTGCTTTCCATTCATCCAAACTTGCAACGACAAGCCTATAGAAAAAGAAATGGGGTAAGAAGTTTGGAAATCTGAATTTCAAAATACTGGTGTGATTTGTCTGTTCAATCCGTTCATAATCTTTATCTGACAGTTCATGTTTGTTCACACTTGGAACATAGAGCTTTCCTTTCCCTACAGCGATAAGACCAAGCCGCTGCATATAAAATAACACCTGGTCTTTATACTTTATCATCTCATCTAACCCTAGCTCTTTCCAGATTGTTAGAAGGTGTTCATAGTCCAGCATCCCTGTTTCATTAAAAGCGGTCCATTCTTTTGATTGAACACGTGTCCGGTGATTCTCATCAGTCACAATTTCCTTAAATACATTAACAAACCATTGGACATCGAGTATAATCAGTTCAGAGAGATGTTTTTCGTTGAAAAATAGAATTTTGCCACAATCATGAAAGAATCGTAGCATGTCCAAGATGTCCTCCTTTTGTGATGGAATTTCACAATCGCTGGATTTGATTAAATCCGAAAAAGTTATCAATCGTTTACTCTTTAAGCTTTGTAATTCCTGATCAAATTTTTCCCATAGTTTTGGAACTATTTCTCCCCAGGTTGATTGTTTCTGTATCAGGTCGACAATACACTTCTCCAATCTTTCAATTTCATTCCTGCTTTCCCCCGGTTTTCCTAATTCAAAGTAGTTCTTTCTATGGAGATGTTGTTGTAATTGACTGACGTCTGGTAGTTGTGAAAGAAAACTGCCGAACCGATCTTTCTTCTAAACCAATTATTACAAGATTAATTTTGATATATACGACATGGTATTAAACAAATATATTGTTATGGGACCACCAAGTAGGCACCTTAGTATGTGAGTTATTCATGATTTCTAAACTCTTGTTTTATCATATGATTTTCGAGTATGTATCAAATGATTAATCCGCATTTACTAATTCCAGATATATGTAATATATTCTTATTTGTTTTAAGTATTTTATCTTTACTTCCCAACTTTCTCATTAAATTTTATGATAATAATTATTTAAGGAACCGTAGTCCCATTCAATGATTTTCATATAACCTTCTCCGTGTGCTCATTGATAACATCCTTGTGGGTACCGACTAAGATTACTAGACTCGCTGTGTCACAATATGTACTGATGGATTCCATCCAGAATTTGTTGTAATCTGGGAAATATAGAAAGAGTATTGATAAAGTAGTTTCAGTATTATGTAATTAACAACTGAGATGTAACAGAGTATAGTTCTACTTAACTATTAAAAATTTTGCACTCTGAATATTTTTCTCTTTGATTTTTAACACCTCTTTTGTATCGTATCAAGTTTCATGCCGATCAGAAAAATGCCAAAATATCTTGTTTTGAAAAAGAATATTGCTACAACATTTTTTGCAAGTTAAGAAAGATTCTTAGACTTTTTTCTTTGTTTTATAAGGAAGAAGGACCGAGTATCTAAAGATTATTTCAATAGTGCCGATATATGCCTGAAATTATGTCGATTCGATGTTAATCATTGAATCTTTCAATCATTCAATATGCTCTCCATATGGTTATTTTTTGTTTAACTATTTTATTGATTCTCTTAGTTTTTATATATTTACATTTGCAAATGTTTTCCCTAATATACATTTTTGCGTATTTAATCCTGTTCAGGTTTGTCAGATAATCATAAAGTCATTGTTTAGTCATTGTTTTCCCTGTGTGTTCTCATCCTTAATTGTGACCCCACCCTAACCCCGGGAGTCTGAAGTTCCACAAACCTACTGTATTCCCACCCTTCCGCGGGTGTCGTGATTTGAACAAACTTTAATCTGCACTATCTAAAGATGCCTAAAATATGACCAATTATGGCTTTGCTGTTCTTGAGAAGACTTTCTTAAAGAATTTTTCATTGTTTTCTTACGTAAAAATTTGATCGCCCATTGTGGCCCCACCCTGATTCTGGGAGTCATAATTTGATCAGACCTGAATTGACACTACCTGAGGATGCCTTTACTAATTTAATATTTTCCCGACCAGATGTTCTTAAGAAAATGAATTTTTTTTAAATGCAAGGAAGTTTTTAATAATTATCTCCCCCTAGGAAGAATTTGTGGCTTATCATTTGAATAAAATTGAATTCGCCTTACCCAAGAACACATTGTGGCAAGTTTGGTTGAAATTATCTAAGTGGTCGAACATGTGAGAAGTTAAAAGACGGACATACAGATAGACGCTGGACAAAACGTGATCAGAAAACTCACTTAAATTAAGCCTTCTGCTCAGGATAGCTAAAACATAACTACCACGTCTTTTCAGCTTTTTGTTTTCAAAACTAGCCAAGACCAGATGTGGTTTAATTTTTATCATATTTGAATAAATTTATTACAGTTTGTATATTAAATTATACCTCTACACGTCCAGTTGTCAAATAATGTTTCTCTGCAAATATTCTGCTCAGATGATACAGAATCATTTGGATTTCTTGACAAGTCAATGACAAGAATATACAACGCTCTCCTTGATAGATAAACCTGGTGACATGCATAATATGCGCTTTGTCCAGCAAAGTCTGTAATACTCAAGGTTTTTTCCTTTTCGCAGTGATAATCTGCACTGAGTGCTTAAAGAGAAAATTAAGAATATTATTAATTTGAAGTTTAGCTTCAAATTTAAGAAATGAACACTTCAGCTGATTTTTAAATGTTGAAATATATTACCGATCATTTTGTTCGTTTTGTCAGAAATTTTGAATATACTCTCATGAATATCTAGTCCAACTGTTGATTCAGTCTTAGGAAATTCAACCATATCTCGATTGAGGAGCCTTTTCAGAAGAGTTGTTTTTCCTGCGCCCTCACATCCTACGATCATTAGTCGTGATCTGTAGATCTTTACTGCGTCTTTTCCAATCTTTCGTACAAACCTTTCCCTTGCATCATAATCCCACTTCAAAACTTCTTCTGGAACACGTACTTGAAATAAGGAAAAAATAAATCTTTGTTCAGGTTGCTACCAAATCTCCCAAAAGGGATGGTATCTCCCAAACAGATTATTTTGACACAAATAGACTATACATAAATATCCCAAACAGACTATACATAAATATTCCAAACAGGCTATGTAAATTTTGACCTGATATTTTACGCTAGAAATTCCAAAATACGCTTCCTTGCAAGAAATTAGGATTGCACATTTGAATCTAACAGACAACTGAAATGTACCCTGTAACATCCTGAAAGGTTGCGAAATCAGTGGTACAGTGCTGCTATCCTATAAGTTGACAATCCTATCCTATCCTATCGTGAATCCTGCATTCACAATCCTATCCGGTGATTTCAGTCTAATCCTATCCTATCGTATCCTGCTACTTTCAGTTTTTTAATATTTAATATTTAGGAGTTAATTTGACAAAACGAAAAAAAAAAAATAATAAAATGACCATCATATAAAAATCAGTTATAATTATGGATTTTATTTAATATGTTTTAGTGATAAAAAAAATCGAGATCGACATCCATTAATTCCCGACACCCCGCACGAATTAATTTTCGAGTACCCAGTTAAAATGTAAACAAAGGGACTGTAATAAAACATAGGCAAGTACTGATCTAGCGACCGTGTAAAGAAAATAAGCTTTCAAAATAATTATAGAAAAAAATTATAATCCGACTTTATTTTGATTTTTCACATACTAACGATGATCGAGAGACGTCACGGTATTTGCGATTTCTTTTCGAATTTATACACTTTGATAAATAAATGGGGTTAAAGTTAGAGAGGGGAAATTGTGGAAAAGGGGGGAAAACAACAACTAAGACTTCAAATACTTTTCTTATGTTATGATTATTAATAAGTAGACTACACGAACAAAATTTAAGTTCTTTAATTATGAGATTCAGACTATTAATGTCTGTACCTTCATACGGGGAAGGTACAACACTGTATAATAACCGTACCCGTTGAAAATACAATTTCTCTACACATAATAAATAATGAAAAAAGGAGAATATGTTGGATATTTTAACAGTTATATGTTTCATGTAAAATTTATGCAAAACTCTATTTTCCCCTAAACTGTAAATTGAACACCATGAAAAATAATACATGTATATATCCTCAGATTTTATTCATACTCATGTAAATCCAGAAAGAAGATACATGTATGACAAGACCATAAACCGAGAACAGAAATTTAGAATAGCTTGACTTTTATTTATTAAACATGTAAAAAATTATTTAAATGTATGATTAAAATTTGTTTTATATTCATTGTTTAAAGTTATTCTTGTTTGAGATGTTCAGTTCATCATTGTTTGAATTTGAATATTTTACAAACATGCAAAAACTTTATCATGTTTGCTAAATAAAAATCAAGATATTCAAAATGTTAAATTTTCTTATTTCACTTCACTTTGTTTTTTAGTTTATGGTCATTTCAGTGTCATACAAATGTATTTCAATAACCATATTTTTATGAGTGAGAATTTAATTTATGTTTAACAGAACACATTTCCATAAATCTTCATAGTCAGATAGAGTGACAGCAATAATCATTGCAGTGAACACACACATATTCCTTTGAATTCTTTCTTATAAAACATGTATATGAATTCACAGTAGTTTCAGTATTTATAAGCCATATTTAAGTAAATTTTGTTTTTGACCTTGACATCTGATCTTGAAATTTATTCAGGGTCTAAATGAGGAACAAAAATGCTTGACCAAGTTGACAATATTTATTCAGGTTTTGGGCCAAATAAATCTCATCTACAATTTTATTTTTTTATCTACAATGTATAACAATTGAATGTTCCATTATGAGACAAATTCATCAGAAGTATAAATGTATTTCAATGCCAAGCTCACAGATACATGTACATGAAATCTGTTTAAGTTGGTCAATGTCTTTTTCCAATTGTATGATGTTTTACATGCATATGATTTTGCCTGCTTGTCCGTCACTCAGATTGAATTTCAAATGTCAAAGTTTGATTCAAAGAGCTAGTCATAAGTAACCGAACAGTTTCAAAATTGTCAACAATGCACAGAAAACAAATACTTCACACACCGATCTCCTTGATAAAAAACATCATGATTTCAGACTCTAAGGGGCTCTTGTATAGTGGTTTGAACATCTTTCATATTTATTCCAGCAGCAGATGAGATGAACTGCAATATGTACAGCAGCAAATATGCAGGATAATCCTTAAAAAAACCCCATTATTATTATTATTATAACAATATATGCATGTAGATTGTGCAATTTTTTTCATATACATTATACATTAAAACTGTATTTTATTGTGATTATCTTTCTCATTTCATGTATGACTAGCTGAATTTTATCTTTTTCTCTCACAGAGTAATGCATTTAAAGAAATCAAGCAAACTCAAATCTTATACAGCAACTTCATAGTCATATCTTAATTAAACAATCATAATTTACTTGTAAATTGTAATTCATTTCATCTCGTCAACTTGTTAGCTAGTATGAGAACATATGTTTGGGGTTTTTTTTTCTCTATTTTGAATTTTTATGCTTGTATTAATTTATTTATGTTTTTTGTTTGTTTTCTTCTTTGCTTTAAATTTGAATAAGAAAAAATTATGAAAATACATATAACATGATGATGACCATGATGACTAGAACAATAACACATTGTTTTCAGTTTTACTCTTTTTTTTTTTTAAAAGAAGAAAAATCACTTATTCAGAGAATGTACAGAAACTTCATCTAATAATGATATTTATGTATTATACTGATATCCATGCATAAACACATGTTAATAATCATACCTACTTTTTAAATGTAAAATCCTTTTTTCCTCACAAAATATTTTGATGAGGGCAGGCAAAACCAAGTATCATTCTCTGCAATGAAGAATAATGAATGATTAATTTATAATTCATAACCCAGAATAGGTCATACAATGTACATGTAAGTGCTGAGTTGGCTTATAATACAATTTAAAAAGTAGCATAAGAAATGATTCTGTCTTTATTTTATCATAATAGCACTCAAATAAAAAACTCTTTTTTTTTAAACCACAGTAGGGAAATAGTATAGTAATAACAAACTGAAAAAGGCATAATACATCTTATTGTTTTAGAACACATTGAATCATGACAGAGTATTTGTGAATTTTTAACCCCCTCCCCTTCCTACACTACTAAAGTAACTACCCGGGGGTGTAGTACTTATAACAATATTTATTAGCAACTATATACAAATATACAATATACTCTGTAGTGGGTTCTGGCCCGGGCTGACTCACCGTCTCTGTACCACGTCTGGTGTGCTTGACATCTTGGCGGTGAAAGAGGTCCGTGCGACTGTCCCGCCATCTGACGTAGCATCGTCAGTAGGTCGAACCACGGGACAGTCGCACAGATACTACACTCCCCCCAGTTTTCTTTGAAAGGCGGGAGTCCACAGTGCGGGGAGGGTCCGGATCCATCTCCAACGATGGGGCGCTGTTAACGCCCACCCGGGCGGACTGCCCAGGAACGAGTAGTGCCGGGGCGAGCCCCAGACAAAACACACCCAAGATAACTCCTGGGAAAAGGGGTCTGGGATCGCTCCCAATTAAATAATTCCAGGCCCTAGAGTCCGGGATAGTTCCCAGGTAAAGAGTCTGGCCTGGCAGGGTACGCTAGAGTGGGTCAAAGCCAGCTGACCCACTCACCACTCCTGAACAACTGCCAGGGTTACCCGTCTAGCCCCGGGCCAAAATTGGGGCATATCCATGGTTACAACCCCACCGTTGACTGTCCCAGGTGGGGGCCTGAATGGGGCCGAGTCATCCTCTCGGCAGGGAACTTCCTCAACGGAGGATATCTCATCACTTTCATGGCAGGGAACCTCCTCAACAGAGGAGGTCTCGTCCTCTACAACATCCATGAGCTGGACAAGAACCAGTTCTGTAGAGGGGGTGGGCATGCGCCACACACATCGATCAGAGGGTCCACCAGGGACACCAGGGGGCAGGCCCATCCCAAAACTAGTCACCCGGCGACCTCCAACTCTGCGCCCATTAAACGCATTGGTATACGCCCAACGAAGGCGGCCAGATAGGCGCTGCAGGATATATGATTGGGCCCTCCAATGTAACAACAAAGCTGGGTGTAGCGGTCCAGTCAATGAATATACGGCCGGGGGAGATTCCCCGACGTGATGGCAGAGGGCATCCATGGCCAGGACTAAGTCCTGAGTGGCCAGGCTATTCCTGTCCGGGAAGACATCTTCCCCCCGGAGTTGATCTGCTAAGTCCTGGACGAAGGAATCTTCTCCCAGTGTCTGGTGGGTAAACCACTTGAGGGCCTCCATCCTAATGGCAGACGCCTCTGGGGTGGGTGGCACCCCGCGTCTAAACACAGCGGGGAGATGGGACCGCAACATGTGATCTCTGAGTTTGCGGGTCATCACCCCACACAGGAGAGGGCAGGGTGAGGGGTTGTGATCCCTCCTAGCCCCCCTAGCCTTGCCCCTAGGGGAAGCGGGCTGGTGTCTGGGAAGAGGCATGTCTGGGGTCCCCTCAGATCCAGCCGGTCGGAAGCGATACCGCTCCTCTTCCATCCTCTCCAATAAAGGTGGTGGCGAGAGAAGTCGGGGATGTTCCTCGACGCGGGGCTCCGCCACGCAATCTATGCTATACCCCTCAGGGCTCCCAGAGGGTGAAGGCACCCTCCTTTCAGGGGATAACGTAAGGGGCCTCTCGTTCTCTTCCTCCTGGCCTCTCTGGAAATAGTCGGAGGGAGGGCGCTCCCTCCTCCAGCCTCTCACTGGCGAGGAGTCTTCATCTGATGAAGGGTCGTCAAATTGGCCGTCCACAGGGGAACTAGAAAATAGAAAAGCACCAATGTTAACCACCCGGGGTTCCCCCATACAATCTGGGCAGATATACTGATCCAGGGAGGAAGCCTCCTCTGAAGTGACCCCCACACAAACCCCGTGGAACCAACTGTCACACTG